GCAACCGCATTGCGGCGCGAGCGCGGCGAGGAGGCGGCTCCGCTCCGGCGCGGGCTGGGGAACCCAACCTGCGTGGCTCAGAGGGGAGGGATGAGGTGGCCGCAGTGCCCCGACAGCACCGTCCGCTCCAGGCGGATGCCTCTGAATGAGCATCATTTTCTTCTCCTGGGGCAGCAGCAAGGGACTCGCCAGAGGTGGTGGTTGTGCCCAGACACCCAGAGCCCTCCTTGGAGGGTCAGCAATGAGTTAACACATACCTGAATAGAAGTCAGGGATCCACTTCGTCCGTCCTAGGCTTTGGGTATTTTTCCTCCCTTTCCTGATGTTCTGAAAAGACCCTCAAGCTTTTATACAAGCGTTATTTTCTCATCGCATCCAAAAATTCAGGTTGTGTCACACAACACGCTCTAGACCAAGCTGCTGGGATAGGGCTCTGCGAAGGAAGGAGCTGGGAAGGAACAGGTCGGGTCTCTGCTTAACCCTTCGTGGGGCAGAGTGAGAAAACGCAGCACGAACAACATGCTAATTCTCATTTTAACCGATATACCTGGCCTCCACCTTCTCTGCTTATTTAAAAAATCAATTCTCTGGGCTCATCAGCATCTGGCCTTTTCCCTTCCTGCCTGTGGAAGGCTGGATCTCCCCCAAAGGGCTGAGCATCATCGCCCAGCGTGCAACAGGAACTGAGCCAGCCCCAAAGCCAAGCGCTATCCGGTGCATGACAGGGCAGGAATTGGCAGTACACAAACCTACCAAACCGAAAAAATAAAAGGAGAAAGGACTTAATCTTCACCTTGATCCTCATCTGATCCTCATGCAGAGATGTAGGTTTTAAGAAGGCTTTTAGAAAACTTTACTGAAAAGGTTAGTATCTCATGAGCAGGCTCTGGACCTCACGGCTGTGCGAAAATGAAAACCAGGTCACAGTATGGAGACACACACCACGACTGAACCGAGATGTGAGGAATTATGTATAAAAATTCAGAATAACCCTTTCTGACACCACTCAAAGCAGGACGCAGCTGGAGCAGTAGCGATGCCACAGTTTGACACCTAGATGTGACGTTTTGCAGGCTGGTGTTTCAGTTACTGTGGTTAGTTTAATCGTTTACAGGGATGCTCTCTACCTCTTTTTCTTGCGAGTCAGCTTCAAACTGAAACGTGAACCGTTACATACGTTCATTTACAGCATGCCAATAGCTGAGTATTTAAAATTTCAGGATGAAGATACTACCAGATCAGCTGCACGTAAAATTTGTACTTCATTTGTAATGCACAAATACATGCCTGTAGCTATTGTCTGTGGAGCTGATTTAAACGTAGTAGCTATGCACAGCTGGGGACGTCGGAGCATGACAGCGGGAAGCGCCTGCATGTAAACTTTCCCACTAAAAACACCCCTCCCACATCTAGCAACCGCAAAAAGCCGCGCGAGGGGCAGTAATCGGCGACGAGGTATTCAGTCTTGGGAACCTAAGACTTTGTAGACTTCGTAGTATCTGGAATATCTGGCCATCCAGCCATATAGCTGCATGCGCTAGGCAGCGGAGAGAGCGGGTGTCGAGGGTGACCTTGAAAGGGGCGGTTTCTGAAACAGCACATTAACCGTGAGGCAGCAGGACACCCGTCGTGCTGGTTTCCAGGTCCTGTCCTTGGGGCAAAATGAATCTCGTAAAGCAAGATGAATGCGTGCCTGGGGAACGAAACAGGTCGGTGAACAAGAGAAGGGTTTCAGGATAAAACGGCATGTTTGTGGGGAAACGGGTGCGTCCTGCGATCCCCACTTAATACCGCCGCTGGGTCCTCTCAGGGACCGCCGCGGCGCGCCTCTCGCAGTGCTCAGATGCTCCAAGAGCGAGTGACCCGCCCTGCAAACAGCCCGTGACCGTCGGAACAGAGACCTGCCACCCGGGCACCTGCTCGCACCATTGCGCTGGTTCTGCCTCCCCGGAAGCAGTGGCCCTGTCTAGGTCTAATTTACGGTGTGGGAAACTGAGGCACGGGGAGGATGTGGCACCCCAAGCTGGCGCAGCGAGGCGGTGGCAGAGCCGAGGATGTTATCCAGACCTTCCGCTGTTCACTCCCGAGCTTTAGCCACGATATCATCTCCCCAGACTTTCTCAGAGACAATCTACGTGGCAGTGTTCATGCTCAAATGCAGATTGAAAATAGTTCTCTCTTACCTACATATATCACCCCTTCTTTAGTTTTCTCTGCAGCCTCCGTCACTCCCTGCTTGGTCTTTTCTGCAGCAGCCACCACACCTTCTTTAGCAATGGAGAAACCTTTCTTAAAGACATCCATTCTTGCTGCTTGCTAGGGTGTTACCTGGGCGATCTGAGCGAGGGACAGCAGCAAAAAGCACCGCAAGAGCGGGACTGCGATACGCAGCCTTACCCTCGGCAGATACTCGCTCTCTCTGCCAGCCTCTGCCTTCGCTCTTACTCCGCCGCCGGATGAAGGCAGTGTGGCAAACCTCTCAGCCTTTGCCGGCTCTTATTGACGAGGCGCGCTGCAGCGTAGCCAATGCCTGCGAACGGCCGATACTGAAATATTAATGATACGGATCTGCTCGGGAAGATTTAAGAAGGGAGGGGGAGAGGAGGGGGACGACATCAGTAGGTAAGGGACTGTCTGGAAAATTTCCAGACAAATGAAGCTTTAAAAAGATGCTGCAATGCTCTCACTCAAGGATGCTCTCGTGTGAAGAGGGAGAGTTTTTATCTGAAGCGCTGAGGTCCTGAAAGGGCATCTCCCCGAGGCCGCGGCAGGCGGCAAACGCGAGCTCTCCTGCGTCCCCCGAGCACCTAAAGCTGGTCGCGTTCGTAGCAAACAAACAGGCTCAGGTTTCTTGGTCTGGCAGTTACCAGAACCCGCCCTGCACAAAATGGTAACAAGAACATTATTTCTGTTAAATACGGCGAGAAAAAGGGAAGCAGCTAAAGCTGGTGCTCAAGTGAAGGGAGCTGGGACTCCCATTCGCCACCTTTGTCAAGTCTCAAGGCAGTCAGTGTAAATGATGGGTTTTGCTCGACTGCACATCCCATTACAACAGTTCATTTCTGAAAAACCAGATGCCTGTTGGGGGAAATCCTGTTTCCTATTTGTTTTTCTGGGTGGCTGTAGACAGAGCTCTGCTCTGCCGCTGCAGTGAGACGACGCTTTACACCGACGCCATCACTCACGTCGGAGGTCTGTGCTGCGGAGCACAGCGCGGCGAGGAAACCACCCACAGAAGACGATTGGGAAAACCTTACAGTTTGCATAGAGGGTCCATCCAGCCTCAAGGCCTCGCTAGGAAAAAATACCAGAACATATGATCATTAATCACAGCTGGATATCCTAACGTGCTTGAAGTTAAACTCAAGCTAAATTGTTTTCTGAAGTAAATCCTGACTGGCCCACGTCAGCTCTCGTCCCACTAGCAAACTGAAATTCAGTGCAAGCACCTGTAAAAGCAATTGCTGGTGCAACAAGGTGATTTTTTTTTTTTTTTTTTTTTTAATAGTGCCATATCTGAAACTACGGGAGCCTTGGAGCATTGGCCTCTGAGCGCAAACCCTGACCAGCTCTGGCTGGTTTTCCTTACCAGGCAAACAGAATACGAAATTCAGCGGTTTAGCTGCATTATGGGAGGGTAGCACACCATAACGCCACGAAGCGTAGTGGTCTGTAAGCCACTGTAAGTGTCAGACGAGGAATGTCTACACAGAAAAGAAAAAAGGCTGAATAAAAATGGCATGTGGCATGTCTGCACATAAATCTCCTTATTTATAAATTAAGAACAAATTTCTATTTGAATGTAGAGGAGCCAAATCTCTGACAGACTAAAACATTTATCAGTTGCTAATTAAAAAAAGTGCAAGACTCAGAGGAAGGCCATCACAACATATACATTATTATAGGAGCTCTCATTGTTCTAGACTGTTGCAGCAAGGAGTAAAAAAAAAAAAAAAAGGGTTTTTTACCATCTTTCAAAATTTCCTTTAGCTGGCTGAGTGACCACTACCCAAAGCGCACAGCTGGTGCTTGTTTCTGCTCCCAGGCTATTCTTAAATTGAAGATACCTGCGTCCCACGGTGCCACGCAACCAGCGGTTTGACCTAGCTGCTCTTGGAGTCAGTCACAAGACTCCCATTGACTCCGTCAGGCGCAGGGCAGGAGTCTCGTTTTTACCACATTTGGTAAGAAGTGACTTTACCATCTTTGGGAATTGCTACAGGGCCCGTTTACTTTTTCACTAGGCTTTGAAAGACCATTAAAACAGAGAACGGAGCTTCCCAGGGTTATGGGTTTTACTGGTATTTTCAGAATGCCTAGGCTGATAAGGCTGAGAAGTGTATTTTGATTTTGTTAAGCTATTGTTCTGCCATTGTGATTTGTACAATTGAATTCTACATATTTTGCGTTGCTATAAAAGGTAACAAATACATGAAATATCAAGCCATCCTGGGATATGAAACATGAATCATCACCAGATTGAATTAGCCAGTACTTGAGTGGGATACTCCTTTCCTGCCTTCTCCTCGCCTGATGACCTTCAGAAAGAGCTCACAAGAGGCATTTAAATGCCGCTGGATCCCTCCCAAGGCAGCAGGCAGTTTGCACGGGCATTGTTTTACCTTGGAACCCTTTTAGGAAAGCTCTGGACTCAAGACAACATCGTAGGTGATCTATATAGGGCAAGCATCAATAACAGCTCCTGAGCGACTGCCACCGCACGGCAACTGCGGGACCCTATTTCTATTCTAAGCAGAGGATTCAGTCCTGATTTGTTGCCAGTCCTGCCTCAGGCAAACCTAACAACAGGAGCTAATGTAAGCAACCTTGGCTTTAAGATTTTGCTAGGATCTCAACTCCGTGCCTGGTAAGTTTTTCCTTTGTATTAGGTAACAAACCCAGCGGCTAAAAAGAAGCTCCTCCAGCGGGCAATTTGGAAAGCCCAAATTCCTATCTCACCTGGCAGCAACCTCTTTTTCTCTGTTCTCTACCTTGGGACGCTGGGGAGAAGTCAGTTAAGCTAGACATGAAGTACCCATTTTTTTCTGTTGAGTTTAGTTCGTATCACTTTGCAAACAAATTCGTATCACACAAACATTTAGCTGATCTGCAGAATACCAAAAGACAGCCTTGTCTTGACTTGTGCAATGACAAACCATCCAACTGATGTTCATTAGAAGTCTGAATTCTGGCTGCTCAGGCTTGTCCGTCGAGTCTCTTGCTGCATAAGACTGTAGTTTCGTGAAGGTCTCCGAAAGGTGCGGTCCCTCACCTCCCACGCGCCTAAACCCCTCTCTGGGTGTTGGTGGCCAATATCTGGAAGCAGGCCTGCGCAGCGCCTGCCAGTAACTCTGGAATATGGGCAAGACAAGTCTAACTCAAGTCTACCTACTCCCAAAGCACAGATACACGGGCAAGACAAGACTGCAAAGCAGAACTCAAGATTCCCTGACCTTTTTTCCTTTGTGTCTGCAACAGAAGAAAACAGGATTTACTTAATTTTGTGTCTCTTCCCTCTTTAATTTTCCCGGTTGCAAGTTTCCCCGCACAGAAAACCTTAACCTTGTCATTTAATGATGAGCTTATGCTGGAGACTAACAGCGGACAAAGGCACCCGGCTGGATGAAAGGAGTGGGATTTGGCCAATTTTATTGAAGTATTTAAATGGTGTACGCTGTTGTTTGCAAGACAGGTAAGGAAAGGAAAGACAGACTGCTTTTGTGGCTGGTAAATATCCTTTCTTCAGGAAGTTTTTGTATGGAGAATAATATTAACATTAACAGGATCAAACCTTGCTCTGTATAAACAGAAATCCTCCCACTCCCCTCCATTTTTGAGAACTTAAAAATGCAGAAGGGAGAACTGTCTCAGGTCATTCATTTTCATGCCCTAATGAAAACAAGCAGTTCTGACATCCTCTTGGCAAACCGTTTAGGACTCGAATCCGTGCATGTACGTTTGCATAGTTAATGAGTAATTTCCTCTCCCAGGGAATGAATAGCGTGACGGCTGACGGACGAGCCATTTTTAAGGCACGCATACAGCGAGCAGAGCGCTGCCAGTACAGCAGCCTTCCGTGACGGATCTCTGCCGTCGAAAGCCGTTGATAGCTTTCGAGCAGGCTAATGAAAATATAGTCAACAAGAATTCATCTTCTTCCTCTGGCAGACAGACCACTGAAAGGAATCGCTTCCTAGCCCAGCAGCCCCACCCGATACTCCTCTCCCCGTGCTCCCCTTCCCTGGAGCTGCTGCACGCGCATGCGCGCGCATCGGCAGCGGGCAGGGAATGAGACAGCGTTTTCCGGATCTAAAAACCGATGCCTCATAAGAAGTTATCCCCAGGCTGTGCAGCTATCAACAAAACTGTCCTATTCATCTTCCCAGACATAAAATACGTTAAGTTATTCAGTCTGCTTCAGAGATTTGGAGCTGGGATATATGAATGTAAAGCAGCATACGCTTATTAAAATAATTCCATCTTTTCTTGGATTTTTAAATGTTTTCCAAGGCTTTTTTTTTTCTTTCAAATACACAGATTCTGAATTTAAGTCTATAATTAAGAGCGTTATGGAGCAGGCAGTTAATCTGGGAAGATACAAAAGAAACAAACAAAAATCTGAATCTATTAATTGAAAATTTAATTTCTTAGGGCTCTTCCTCCAGAGAGACACCGACTGGAATAGCCAGCGCGTTTGCTTTCCAAGTACGTACGAGCCATTTATCAAGCGTGTTGTTTGGCAGCGTTTACTGCGTGGTCACTCACCTCCCATCCAACTGTAGCTGCAGGGCTCTGACTCTAAACAAACAGAACGAGGCCAAAATGAGATTTTTACATCTTCTGCAGGTCATCCAGAAGACGGTGCTGGTATTTGACAACTTGATTATGGAATTGCAAAGAGGACATTGAATTCTCAGGCAAGCAACACTGGAGGAGTCAGCCTTTAATGGAAATGGTTCTAGTTACCAGACAAGACAAGAGTAGTCCTGACAGCTACCTGCAAGACCCCAGGGCATACCGGTTAATCTGGTGTAAATTGCAATATCAAATCCTTCAAGACTACTTCGAAGTCTGAAGACTAGTTTGAATAGTTTGAAGAAATAGTTCTCAGAAATACTTGGGGGGAAAATATTCTCATGAATAAGGGCATGGGAAAAAAAAAAGCCACTAACGACTGGTGACCAAGAGTGGAGGAACAAGACCTGTCACCTGTCTAACTGAGTTACCAAAATAAAGAGTGAATGGGATGGGTTTTTTGTCTACCTGTTCTGAGAACTGCTAGAAACTTCCGAGAAGTATCAGGG